ACTGGAAGAAGGGCAACCTTGCGTGCGCAGGATTTCTTTCGAAGAGGATTCAGCAAGACCAATCATACCCATACGGTTACGAGACTCACCGAAGTTTCACGAAAGTATAAGATGCCACTATCTCATCGACTTGAAGCACCAGGGCGACCGCCGGCCTGATGGTCAAATTTCTTCACGAAAGCTTCGAAGAGAAGGAATGTTCAAATGTTATGCTGTTCGTGGTGCAAGGAGGACCCATTGGACCACTTTGGCACGCGGCAGCGACGAATGAGGGAAGATGTCACTGGCGCCCGCTCGAGAAACCGGTGATACACGTGAATCCAGAGATGCATGACTGGCACCTAATAGTCCTTTTACAGCAAATATCATCAGCTCTATCAGTTCAGGAATGGAAATCAAGGAATCAAACCAAGGCACCGGTTTTCAATTCAACCAACATGTACCGGAGAGCTCCTCACTCTTCGCTTGGCTGTAAACGGCCTTTGAGCGTCTACGAAGACCCTAGGGTTGACTTGGGAAAAGCGGAGGAGATTAGCACTGGAAATCGATACTATAGTGCTTCACAGTTCGAATTCAAAGACAAAGGGCAATAAGTGAGATAGGACAATTTTACGTACTATACTGGTTCCGCTCCCCACACACGACCAGACGTCCCTCGCCTCTTTCCCGTGCATCACTTAGTATCCAGTCACAGATGCAAAACTTCTCAGAACAAACAGAATTCTGCAGCGAATTCGGACTATTTGTGATCTCGCCACAAATACTGTGCTGCTCTTCTGAGCAAAGTCAACAATCCATTGCGCAATTCCCAACAAGGGGTCGTACTTGGCCTTTTAGTCGGGAGAGGGGGGTTGTATTTTGGTTTTTGTGTTGGTTGTTAATGGTGACGAGGCGGAGGGCGAATGATGTGTCTCTAAGAGTGACGGAAAGCGGTGGGGTGTCCTTGAGGGGGGGGGAGGACTGCACATTTTTTGGAATTGGTATAACAGACGGTTGACCTTGCTTCACATCCGTTTGCCGCATTCATAATCTACCGCACTATAAAAGCCGTCTCGCGAACTTGAAGCGAACAGCGACAGCTGCTTGCTTTTCTTCGTTTTGCTACGCGACACCCCTTTGCCAATTTGCTATCATACACGTTCCCTCTCTGAATCTCTATTTTTCTAGAAAGAACAGCAAACCACACAAAATTTGCATGAACTTCGTAACTTGATGCCCACTTGCGACCGCCACCATTTATAGAAGTCCTGCATGGAGGATTAAAAATGAATGTTCGGTTTTTATTCCGAAGACCGGTGCTGCTTCCTACGTGAACCACTTATTTGCATATTTCCATTATAGATTTTGAAATGTGAGAACTTTTGATCAGAAATGGATCTCCAAACGGGCTAATCCATATTGTCATGAATCCAGTAACAAACGAGTTCTTACCCACATAACATTTCAAGGTATCTGCAAATGGTAACGAAGTGGAAAGGATGAAAATCACAGTGGAAGAAAGCATTCTGCCGAAATCAAAACAACCACATGGCACTGTCAATCCCCTTTATAAAAGCACCGCCACATCATGGCATTGTCGAGGGAAGAGATAAACTGACTCAAAAACGTTTGAATCATCACTTTGAAGACGGTTATAGCAACGTACCTCCTCCATAAAGGCATTACTCACGGCGAACTCGCTTGTCCTCGAAAACGATTTCAGGCCGCGAGCAGATGCGAAGTGTCAAACCTGTATAAGATCATTTTCGAATTGCAAGAGCCACTCAGGAATAACCTCATCTCGACGTAATCAATTATACCAACTAGTTGAGAAAAACACCAAAACCCCCTAATACAGCGTTTTGGCAGCACACAATGAACACACTACTTCAATGAAATTTTCAGTGACGCTGCTAAGCCTCAGGCCCTCTTTGAAAACTTCGAATTTTGCTGGAACTGCATTACTGGGGTACTTGAGTGTGTTGATCACAGCGTGACATCCCTTTTGGCGCAGGCGCCTTTTGACGCCAGCTTGCTGCCAATTTATGACTAGTTTCGCAAAACTGGCACCAATGGCACACACCAGGAAGACAGGTCAGGGTTCGTGATCAGGGCAATGAATAAACTCTCTGAGTAAGTTTACAGCAAGGTTGAGACAGGTGGTGCAACAAACTGGCGCAAAGCACCATATGGCGCAATTGCTAGAAACGAATGTGATAATCATTTCAACACTCTGAATTGTCCCACAGGCGAAATGTGAAGAAATCGAAGCTTTAAGATTTTGATGTTGTGATAGCGAATACTACTGAAATTTTGGCAACGATGATACAGATAGAGTTTATGAAGATATGAAGGCAGAACTAGAAAATCCAGTACCTTCATACTGAATCGCTTAAAGATGCGACCCTGTTGGAGCCATTTTTAGCGATGTATTTATTCATGACCAGAGCCCAAAAACTTATTATAGAAAGGACGAACTTATCATAACAGCTCACAGAACAGCGGCCTTAAAGATCAAAAACTTCCCAAATAAAAAGCAGCCAAAAGAACTATGAAAAATAAATGAGGTTCCAGAAACCATTTGGCTTGGGGGATCCTGAGAGGATCTGAAAGCACGCACTGAATAATTGGTATGGTCAGGTGACGTCAGCTGGAATATTTCACACAAACCATCGAGTCAGTCCTGAGCACAATTACCTCCAGAAAGTAATGAGTAGCTCAAGGCCTCTCTTGCTGAAAAAACTGGGTGTGGTTCGATAGGATAAAAAGCGACTTTTGCGAAACATTTCTCTGTGGGAGCCTAAGGTCCACCCCTGATTATGAGGCGTCTTCGCAACGGAAACATTTCGTGCTGCGAAGAGCGAAAAAGTCATTTTTGTCCTGGCGAACCGCACTCAAAGAAGACACAGTGCTACAAACTCAAATCTCGTTTCCGTAGGAATTACGTTAATTTTCGCGCTAGTTTACGCAAAACGTGACAGCAGCATTGGCCCGGTTACCAAGTTCAGATCATCAGGACCAAATTTAAGAAAAGGACTACAACTTCCTAGCAAAACGGGGTCTGCGAAGTTTTTGAATTTCAAACTTTTTGTAATCCCACAGTTTAATGGAACTTTAAGAACACCGCCTTCTAGGAGTACACGCTTACAGTAGAATCGGGTAGATAACCAAGTTACGATAGGTACCGTATTTTGCTGTCTTCTGACAAGCCAATAAAAACTCGATAGTAATGACAGTCATAGTCGCACATATGTAGGAGAATCAATGACAGATGTTTATTGCACAACTAGGTTCCACATTTTGCATTACAAACTCAACAGTGCTAAAGAGTCAACAACAAAACTTTCCATGAAGGGACACCCCACCTTTCCAAGTCTGTAACGAAAAAGTGCTAACAGTGAAACAACCACTTAATTCATTCATTTAATTCAATCAATCGTCCTCTCCGTGTTCCAATGTGTGACTAAAAATCCGCGCTAAGTGATGAAACTTCAAAAAAAAACGAATATTGTGGGAGGAGTATTTGATAACAGATTCGATTGAGATAACCCACCCTCCCCTCGCTGAGCTCGGTGTTCCAAAGCTAAACAAAAAAAAAACCCTTTGAAGTTTCTATCTGAGCCCCCACCCAGTCAGCTCAATTGAACGCATTCCTTTCCCGATTTCGAGACCTGACTAGTCATATCTTGTTGAAGCAACAACCCCGGATCAATCGGTGGGGTAACAGCGGTCTAATGAAGTTGCGGATGTCGAACTGACCGAGAATGAAAAAAGAACCAAGCAACGACGAAGCAGCTAACTAGTATCGCACTTCAAATGAGGGAGGGGCGCGTCCGGACGAGTTGACTAGACTTGAGGTATGGCCCGTTAGGACAGAGTGGCGACTTTTTTCGGTTCGTAGCGCGAACCATTTCTTGCTGCGGGACCACAGCTCCACCGCTAATCATGATTGGACCCTGAGTTCCCGCATCGAGAAATGCTTCGCGCCTTGAAACGCGAAAAATCCGCTTTCTGTCCAGGCAACCGCACCTCTGGACTTGCTTGCTCCATGGCTTCACTCACTCGCATGTGTTTGCATTAACCGCTATGTCGTTATCCACGCTGCATATCACGGGGTATGCGCAATCTCGTCCAAAAGTTCACATTAGTCGCCATTAGTTAACTTTGTAAGACCCTAGCGCCATTGTCGCGCACTTTCGAGCCGCGACAACGGCACATCTGTGGTACTCGTGGGCTACTCTATCCCACCCACTGAACAAATTCTTCGACACGACCTCAGCTACGGTTGCTGCTTTGAAACGCTGCGAAGAATTGTTCCAATTTTAGTATATGTTCACGAATGAACAATACGAATTGATGGTGAACAGCAGGTAAATCGCCACTCAGTGCTTATTCAAGAGCCAAAAATTCCAAAACAGGGAGAGTATATCACCAGAGCGCAGAGAAATACTTGGCTCTATCTGAAAATTGGAATACATCGCTCATTCAACGCACTATAAACACAACACTGTGATACGATGTAAAGACCGATAAAAGCAAAAAGCGATCACAAGTGATCAATTTGAGAAAACCTGAAAAATAAGAATGAAAACCTCACGCGTTCCTATCGCCCCGATCCCTGGTCCTACGTCCTATTGCTCGCTCCCCATCCCTCTTTAATTGATCGCTTGTCTCCACTGATCGTGGCACATCTCACATCCTATGGTATGTCCTTTAGTCAGATATATCCTCCTCCTTCATCCTCCTCCTCCTATCCAATTGTGGAGTGGAGGCTGAAACTGTAGCTTTAGTGGTGACACAAAAACACTTCATTCAATTAGAAATCCAATAAAAATATAATACTAACACTATGCCAAAACCACAACAAAAATGCATTACTTGTAATTTAGGTGAAACTGGAAACGTAAACTCGAATTAACGACAAGCATTTTACGATTCACGAAACACGCTTGTACAAACATAAATGTACCATTCGAATGACATCGAAGATCGCTGGAGCCGTTGCTTCTGTTGATGGTCGCCTATTCGTGCGGTGAGCGGCTGCGAGAGCGTGATGGAGAGTGCGACGGTGAGCGGCTGCGCGAGCGCGAGCGACGAGGACTGTACCTCGGTGATGAGCGACGAGGACTGCGAGAACGACTTCTCGAGCGGCTACGACCGACACCGCTTATGTCCTCACGGACGCGGATGTACGCGGTCTCACCCTGCAACAAACAAATTACCCTGTAAATCGGAAATTCCAAATTGGAAGTTTAAATTGAGCGTACCTCATGAGAACGGAACTTTGTATCGTCAAGTTTGCGCACTGCGTACTTCATATCATCATATCGTGTGAACTCAGCCACACCTGTTCCATCACGAGCAACATCGGCATAACAAACGTCTCCTGCTTCTCGTAAATGATCCTGAAAGTTGAATCCGTGAGTTCTGCAAACATGAATTTTCAACTAGAAGTAGTAAAGGGAGTACCTTCAAATCCTGCCATGATCCGGTCGGTGGAAGGCCCTCAACAATGACACGGAAATTTGAGCGCCGCGATGGTGGTCCACCGCGTCGTGGAGTTGGCCATTCTCTCGCGTAAAGAGGATTCATTGGACGTCCACCCGGTCCGCGTGGACCAACTCCGCGAGTAAATTCCACCCGAATGCGGCATCCATCAAAATCATAGCCATCTCTTCCACGAACAGCGTCTTCAGCATCACTGGAAAGAAGCAATTAGTACAATGAAAATAACAATAAAAAAAACAACTCCAAACAAAGCAAAATTGGCAACTATCCTAGTGAGGGCTTCAAATAAAAGGGCAGCCAACCCTTACCGATAATCTTCAAACTCAACAAAAGCATAAAGCGGGCCACGGCCTCCCTTGATGTCCACAAATCGAATTTTTCCATATTTCGCAAAAATATCTTCTATGTCCTTCTCGCGGACATCAGACGGCAGATTCCCGACGTAGATGCGTGTATCGTCACGACCCATCGCAATTCTGAAACGATTAATTCTGGAAATACAATAAGAGCAAGCCAAGCAGAGATGACTAACACCGGGGAACGGACGAATGTGAAGAAGCCACGGCTGGAGTGAAACTAGACGTATAGATTCTTTTCGACGCAATTGCATCTAAGTTTGCACAAAGATTTCAGCGCTGTATAATTTAAAATGCAGCACTACACACTACTGCATTGATGCCACGTACACGAAGGGTTGGGTCGCTGAAGTAGAAAGCGCTTTTGCAGCGCTGAATTTTTTTTGCTGCGAGAAGCAAAAAAAATCAGCGCTGCAGAACTCCAGGACCTGAGGTCTTCGCACCGAAACAGTTCCACGCTGCCGAAAGCGAAAAAGTCCTTTCTGTCCTAGCGTCCCACACCCAGACATGTACAGCGCTTTCACCTCACCTTCCCCTCCCCTCATCTACATGAACTCTTGGATAGGTTGTTAAGAGCGCATTCATACATAATTTTGCAGAAAAATATCTTCACTGAGCCGAATTTCAGATGCTAACGACACGCAACGTAACGCAGAAACAACTTCCAAGAGAAAGAAAAGAAAACGAATCAAAAGGAAAGAAACCCAAGAAACATAAAAATAGATACCGTTCAAAATAAAACAGTTCCTTCTCGGAATGCACTACGCTTCCTAACGTGGCAGCATTCCGAGCGATTCGATCCAAGCGTGCGTATGGAATCTCGCGAATTCACAAGCCAGTGGAACCCTCAGATGACCCTGGCACTAATCACGGAATCGAGGTAAGGTCGGCCCGAATGGGCTTTGATCCAGGTTCGGCGCTTGATAGGCAACGTCAGTTGCCAGTATTTTACTGTGGACTCTAGCGGACCCAGGGGCGAAAGGTATAGTGATCGATTATTCCTCTACCTAACCCACCCACCTAGGGCCGTATGCTATCCTTCCCGAAGCTAGGTGATCCAAAGTTTCCTTTAAATTTATTTGCTTTGAACGATGTAGTTTCTTCATTTTCAGTGCATGTTTACTTTACCTACATACATACATTAAATGTAGGCCCTTTATCAGGGCAATCCCAGTTGGGAAGACAGAGAAATTTAAAGGGATTTTCGTCCCCCTAACCCTTCGGGGAGGATAGCATACGGCCCCTAATCTTAAACAAACGTAATTAACGTCCATACGAGGCGATGACTAAAATATCTCTCAACGTGGATTTCTCAGCATTTCTCGGAACTTTCCCATCAATTTCGTTTCCGTTTCAGGGTTGATGGGTTCGGAAGCTTTACGGAATATCTTGTACACCATACCGATCGCTCTATCGATGGCCACAATAATAAACAACCGCACCGTGCTATCACCAGATTCGCTGCAGCCACGACGCCGACAGCTGTAGAGGATACGAAAAAAAAAACGCTGAGCCAAAGAACGAGAAATTGCTTGGAATGGATTACTGGAGTAAGGTAGAAGCTATTTCGACAAACATATCAAAACCTACGTCTTAAAGTTCGAAACTCTATTATAATCAGCAACAAGAGAAGTCATAACTGTGACCACTATCACGCAGCGACAGTATCAAATGAACGAATGGCGAGTTTCGCGCTACCGTGGCGAATGATAAGACAACAGGAACAAGCACGTTCAGAAACATGGTAATGCAGGTCAGGACGAGTTGGGAAGCTGGGAGGGAATGAAGTGGGCGAGTGCGCCCGGGCGACGAATTGCTGTATCGATCGACAGCGAAAGTGCAAACCACATGCACTCTCAATGTGACGTCGGGGCAAATGTCCTTCTGTCCGTTAGGGCCCCCCGTCCGCTCACAAAAAGGGCAGTTCCTCGACGATCACAAAAAGGGCAGTTCGCCATGCCAGTCGACTTCAAAACCGCAACGCGCTGGCAAAAACCGCCAAAAGGGATGAAAACATCCCAAGCTGAAATGCACTGGAAAGCAAAGGAACGACTGCAGAATAACTCGGGTGCTATGTACGAAGTTCTAACAAGGGCTATCGCTATCTCAGTATGGCTGCTGTCGCTTCTAGAAGCATCTAGTCAATCGCATTCTCGATGCAAATAAGATGTATGGCGCAATTCCTGACCCTGCTCACAGCAGCGTTTTCCTTACCACTACCCCATCTCCATCTGAAGTAGGCCGCAGCAGAGTCGAAAGTCAGATTTTCCAAAAATTTTCCCCTTGAAGGGAGTCTCGGTACACCCCCACCAACACCATCGGCCTTAGGCCGATGTCAGACTTTGCGAATCGCGCGATTCGCTAGCGTCCGCGGTCGCGTTGCGGTACCAGCCAATTGAGTGATTCACTGGCCGCGACGCGACCGCAGACGCTAGCGAATCGCTCGATTCGCAAAGTCTGACATCGGCCTTAGGATGCTGCCCACTACCCTGTCATCATGGCTGTTTCTATGATGGTTGATTCTGAGACCAGTCGACACTACCCAACTCCACCCACTTGTTCCTTTGAAATTGCAAGCGCAGAAGAGGCGGAGGTTGGGTAGGGGTGGAGGGGGATCCTCAGAGTGCGTAAAACATCTCACTTTCGCTTTCACACCAACCCCGGGGCTCTCTTCCCCTCTTCTAGGGGTAAGAAGTGTCGCAGTACGTGCTTCCCTACTGGCTAAGACTCCTGAGTCGCTTCCAGATAGCAACCGCACCTATCTGTCATCAACTTTCTTGCCTAATTCAGCTGTTACCACAAAATAACGATAGTAACACAACTACTACCCAGCGCGAACATTGTGAGCGTACTTTTTTTCTGGGGATACGCACCTGCTTCTAGCGCCTGCTTCTCGTCCCCTCCACATGGTGCTGACTTCACAAGAGGAAGTGAGCAAAGCAGAAGGTGCAAAGGATACACGAGGAGGCACAAACCATACCCATGGAAAGGGAGGTCCCTGGGACAAAAACGGTATGCAAATGAAGCAGTGGCACGGGATGTTTATGCCTATTACATTGCCATCAGAAATCCAAAGTAGTGATTCTTATGGTTAGTGCATGGACAACTTAAATAAGAGATTAACAATACGCCTAAAAATCGACTGATCGAAAACTTTCGCTGACGAAAATACGTAATTTGCATGGCTACGAAACTTAGCTCCCGGGGCTACGGAGTTAGAGGAAATTAACGCACCTATGAGGTGTGAAAAAAGCTCTACACATCCACAAATCACTTCCAGACAATCACGTGTGGTCTAGACAGCAAAAGACTTTCCTACGAGCAACAGAGTTCCACACAGCGATCGTGATGAGGGTTCACGATACTTGAACCTGATACTTTCCTCTAAGTCCCTCACGGAAGGCCGATGTCAGACTTTGCGATTGGAGCGATTTTGCACCAGGAGGAGCGACGGATCGCTTGAGCGATGCGAGCGACGGGAGATTTACGAACTGATGGCGCCGAATTATCGGTGGTCGGCGGTGTAAATCTCCCGTCGCTCGCATCGCTCAAGCGATCCGTCGCTCCTGCAATTGGTGCAAAATCGCTCCAATCGCAAAGTCTGACATCGGCCACTGAAGCGAGTCCAGAAGTTAAGAACGGCGCTTGGCCGCTCCAACCCTTAGGAAGAAGAGAAGAACTCGGGCTGGAACCTGTTAAGCCTTTGGTCGAGTGTCATAGCTAGCCGCTCATAGGGGCCGAAAGAGCGCAGGACGACCAGCATTCGAGTAGGCGCCTTGCAAGGATCCTGAGTCAAGTCAGTCCGTCGACGCTGGGATCGTGGGAGTGTGAGCCTGCGAATGCCGCCGTGCAGCGCTAAAGGCTTCGCGCTGCGAAAAGCGAAAGTCGCATTTCGTGAATCCGGCAACACGGTTCTGAAAATATTAGGGTCACAGTGCTACCTCAACGCAAGCTAACGCCTTTCACCTATAGAGCGAGAGGGCGCGAACATAGTTGCGCATAATTGTTCGATCTAACGCAATAGCGTAATGCAGGTGAAGGGCAATGGCGCTAGGTTGGTAACAAGTAGAAAGTCGGACCCGACTACATTCTAGTGACCAGCTCCTTGTTTTCTTTGCGGGTCTCACCCCCCTCCCTTCGACATGTTACACGTAGCACTCCAACTTATTGACCAACCAGAAAAGGTACTGAACAAGATGGTGATATATAGAAGATGAAATATCACTGATAAGGCTGGAACACGTATTACTCTGTAACTCTCTCTACTATCTGTACCAAGTCAGTGATAACATTTCTGTAAACCATACTTCCAAAGCGAAAAAATCACGACCGAGCATCAAAATGAAAAGTGGCAGCCGCTATTTTCGAAAAAAGGGCAGAGTCGCAAAACAGCGCCTGCACTTGCTCACGTACTTTTTTCGAGAAAATTCTTTGCGATTACGGACATTGCACTGAATATGACGCCATTTTCAACCATCACCAGGTGTGACCACTCCTTGCTGAAATTTGCGGTTGCTCAATCGTAGTCAGGACGTATGAGAAGCAAAGGTGTGTAGCTCCACGACTGCTGTGTGAACTGCCCCAACTACCTCGCTTTTTGTCGCTGGCGGCGAGCGGCAAATTTGCAGGAGCGGCACGGCTGCACCTGAACCGGAACATAGTGTGATAAGGTGATCGGGGCGTTAATCTTTTTTAAAAGGAAAATGAATGTGGATAGTTCAATTTCTGCACAAACGTAAATAGTATATTGTTCTCCGGCAAGCGTATAGAATTCCTTGAAAGCGCAAACCTTCTAGTTTTGCCACGACTCTCCGTTTTCAGACGCTGGCCGCTTTTGATGAATATGAACTTCAAACTGAAAACCGATTCACAACAATCAAACAACAAACCCAAAAACCTACTAATTTCATCTTTTGTTCTCATCAACAGCTGTTCAAGATACTATATAGGGCGTATCGTGCGGAGCTTCTAGTATATTCAGTACTGTTTACTTGAAATACACTACACCAGCGCTGAACTTCTTAGAACTTTATAGCCTCTGAAGCTGCCAAGATTTCAAACTTCTGTATTACCGAAGGGGCAGGTTACCTCGGTGCGCCTGAACAACCAATTCGAAGAAGCCACTCTGAACCCGAAAGAAACCCTGAATCAGGGGCCGGGTGCAGCAAGCCCCAACTAGGGGAGGGATCCCCAACCTTGGGGACATATCCCCAACCTTGGGGATACATCCCCAACCTTGGGGATATATCCCCAACCTTGGGGATATATCCCCAACCTTGGGGATATATCCCCAACCTTGGGGATATATCCCCAACCTTGGGGATATATCCCCAAGGTTGGGGATCCATCCCCTCGTTGGGGCCGCACCCGCGCCTCAGATCCTTCCATTTCTTTGGTCATAGTACGTGGTAGCCAACTCTAAAAAGGGCCGCGGACTTTTCCGCTTTCGTTCGCGTGCCCTGGATCCTCTCTCCCCAATTATAATTCCCGCAAGTGTTAAACCCACTTTTTAGGCCAAACTAATTACTCGCTCTGGAAAATATTCCGGCTCTCATGATGCCGAGCAGCAAATAATTCAATGTTTTCGCCGGATCCCTATCGTAACTAGAGGTTTAATGACAAATGTAGCATCATGTGGTATAAAGGACAACAAATTGCACGTGGACCCATATGATTCCCGAGTTTGCAGTGTTTACTCAGTTTTCATATGTAACGTTTTGTTTGTTAGCAGACCTTTGCGCTTCGAGCTAAACGTCGGCAAGCGATGTGCCAGGGACTCCAGCGATTTGATCGCTCGCAGACCAGAGTCAACCCTGCGTTGCGCAGTTTCAACGGCCACGTTGCGCAGTTTCGCCCGATTAGACACGTTCTCTCGCGCGAACATTCACACTCGCATGCTCGAGCCGTCTGCGTCTCCGCCCATACAGCGTGCGTTGAGGATCTCTCAACGTGCCGTTGCGAACTGCGCAACGCAGGGTTGACTCTGCTCCCAGCCCTCGACAGCCGACTTTCTTAAATTGACTAATTTCTGGTACTGCTCAAATTCCGCGTATTCACGAAAGGAATAGAAATGTAGGCTAACCATCAGTTGCCTCGTCACACTCAGGAGATTCCTCGTCGACGTCCCACTCTTCAACGTAAATGCCTTATTCTTTGCAATCTGCTGCGCAAACATCAATTATTAACACGGGCTCGACGACAACTGCGCGTTTGGTTTTGCCGCCGCGCGGACAGGACGCGAGCGCACTCTGCCGCCAGCCGACAGTCAAATCCGTAGATTCGATGTGAGCTTCGTATACACTTACGTAAACTCCGGATGATAAAGAAAAGAAACAACGATTCAAGTGATTATTTGTAGTTCAAAACTTGTCAAAATGAACAACTGTAAAAATTCGATCGAATTGACGTTTTCTGGCGCGATGAAACGCAAGTTTCAGTTGTTTTTGCTAGAGTAAGTAGTAAACCTCAAAATTCTTTTGACACGGTAGCCTCACTAAAAACATATATCTTGCTATATGTGTAGGTCTCACTTACTCACTCTTTTTATAACAAGGTTGACAAATTAAAGAAAACGGAATGAACACAATCCGGAAATTAGTAGGACTTGGAAAACTTCACTAAAAGGAGAGCACATTTTAACCATTCGAATGAACCTCGCCGTGTCTAGTCATATTATGGTGTAGTCTATAGAATAGATGCAAAAAATTAGAAAAGAAGTAGCGCATGCGCGAAAAAATTAATATTTTGTGTGTGCTGCGCACGGTCCCACACGGTGCTCAAGGTGTGATGCGCATGCGCTGCACAATGTCGTCAACGTGTTAAGCTACTACCTTGCAACATCGCAGAGGCCGGCTCCGTTACGAGAGTAGATGCCCAGCCAACACTTTCCCGAACATTCTGTTTACATACAGTGAGTGGTATCTAATCATCCTCAATGGTAAATGATGGCAGGCAAGGATCAATGGTGTTCTACAGATCCCCGAGTGTTGCAAGAGATTCACCGCGCTGAACACTTGTTATACAATATAGTTACATGTCATGTGACCAAGAGCAAGATAAGGAATGTTTATTCAATTTTCATAATGGTAAAAATGATTGCTTGAACACGAAGTTGACGACGGACACCTGAAATGTAAATAAGAAAAATCTTACGTATACTTCTATCGCCCCGGATTGAGTCCCGCGCTCCCATCCTATTGTGTTGTGTCCCTATCCCTCCCATTTGAATTGACTGTCCACATATAGAGTGTCCAGGCATTCGTATTCCAATCCACTGATCGTGGCCAATCTCCTATCCTACAGTATGTGCTCTACTCCTCCATTCATCATATGCTCCTTCATCCCCTTCTCAGAGTGGAATTGAGGCTGAAACAGCTTCGTGATAGTCGGTGCAATCTTCATTGAAATTTGCAAAATGCCAACATTAGAAGTGCAGGCAAGCGCTAGAGCACAACTTTCACAAGTGACCATCAAAAACGAAAAATATAGAATATTATAGTAAGTGCGTAAACAGTATGGAGTGACATGCTTATACGAAAAAGATATACCATTGCTCTTTCGAGAATCCATGAAATCCAAGCTCCTCAGGTTCTTAGTCGCGCGAAAGACTGCGAGATCGTGATCGAGAGACAGAACGACGCGGGCTATACTTTGGAGATGATCGACGAGGACTGCGTGACCTGGATCGATCGCGGAAACTTCCACCGCCTGCGGTGGTGTCTTCACGCACGCGAATATAAGCCGTCTCTCCCTCAAAAAGGAATCGAATAAGATACATAGCAAACCAGAACAATCGTAAACACACCTCATGCGAGCGGAACTTTGTGTCGTCCAATTTTCGCACTGCATATTTCATGTCGTCAAAACGAATAAATTCCACAACACCGGTTCCATCACGTGCCACATCGGCGTAGCAAACCTCTCCGGCCTCACGCATATGATCCTTAAAAACAAATCTATATAAAAATCAAAGGGATAGCAGCAATTTCTACAATGATTCCAAAAAAAACCTTGAGATCCTGCCATGATCCAGTTGGTGGAAGGCCTTCTACGATAACGCGGTGGTTGGAACGGCGATTAGGTGGTCCGCCACGTCCACGGCTACTACCAAAATCTCCACCATAGCCACCATATCCTCCACGGCCACTACCGCCATTCAATGGTCGACCTCCAGGACCACGCGGTCCAACTCCACGCGTAAACTCAACGCGGATACGCGATCCATCAAAATCGTATCCATCTCGCCCACGGACCGCATCCTCGGCATCGCTAAAACACAGTCATGAGAATAAGTTTGATAGAATATTGGAGCCACTTCTCTCAAAGACTGTGACGAACACTTTTCTTGCAACCTGAGGGTCGGGTCAGATTTTGCAGTTCGAAATCGCAGGATCGCAAATGTGATCGGTACGTCTCTACTGCAGGAGAATGCGCAAGATCGCAGAGTATGACTCGACCCTGAGTGCTGAATGCAGTCTCACTGTTAGCTAAACACGGGACCGTGCAACACTAATCCGGGGTACACTGGATTTTTGATTACTATGGGTGCGACAAGATAAAAATGCTTACGCATCCCAAAGTGCTTTCCCTTCCCCGGCTTTATGGTGAGTCCTATCAATTACATTTCACCTCATGACGTCAATTGCGTTCCAGCCGTATTCGGAAAGAGACAAACGGGTAGTATTGCACCCTCGTGACGTGTTACTATAAAAAGCACACAGAGGAGAATATGCCGCCTGTACACCTAATAACGCAGCTACAATATTCCAGGTTATGAGAAAAAAAATACAAAGGAGTCAGGTAATCGTACATTTTGTGATTGGCCACCAAGTCATTGAGATAACTAGTAAAGTCATGATAATCTAGTATGTGCAGTACAGAAATAACTGGCGCTTTGGATAATTCGTCTCTGTCAGCTCAAAAGGTTTTCATATTCTCTTCAAATATGGCTATAGATATCGTGAAATCAAAGAATCAAATAGAAAGCACTCACCGTGGGTCTTCGAAGTCGATGAATGCATAAAGAGGTCCTCGTCCACCTTTTATGTCGACAAATCGGATTTTTCCATATTTCGAAAAAATATCTTCAATATCTCTCTCACGACAATCTGGAGGCAAATTGCCGACGTAGATTCTTGTTTCGTCGCGTCCCATTCCGAACGTAGTACTCTGAACAACTTAGTTGTTAGTCGTTTGATCAATTCCCAAACACAAAATAAAAAGAAATAAAGCATGAGAAATATCGAAAAGTGCAAGGAAAGAGCAACGACTGACCGGCGTGCGCGCGTCCGCGACGCGGCGACTGCGTATCGTCGCTGGCACACCGCCAATTCGAAAGCGGATCGATCGCGACCCAACCGGTGCTTCGCTGGGGCCGTATGCTATGCTCCCCCAACAAGGGAGGGGCCCCTATTGGGGGAGCTCCCCGGCTGCGGCCGCCCCGAAAGCGGCCGTATGCTATGCTCGCGGGGCTCCCCAGGGGATGCAGACATGCAGAGTATCCATGGCGCGAAGAACTTGGCATCTTGCCAGACATTAGTTTTAGGCTTGGAAAGCTACTAATTATAAAGTTTTAGGGTGCATATGCAGGATAGGATACTCAGGATCGAAGATTAGCAATGTTACCTCGAAAGTTAAGGAGAAAATCATTAGAATTCTTTGATATCCACTATATTATGACTATGATCAGCATTGTCTTCCATAGAGCATCTGAAGCGTTTTAATAATGCTCAATTTGACATATATCGTTTACTTAAATTACTGAGAATGTTTAAGGAGTTAATCAGCCGCCTCATTTCACGCTCCATGTTGGTAATGATCCGAAGAAGATCATTCTATACATCATTCTATAAAGTGTATTAGATTAGCCAGAGATTTATCATGATGAATTTGAAACTTTGCTGTGGTCAAAAATAAAAGCAGATAATCTTCTAACAATCTAATTTTGCGATGAACTTAAACAAAGATTTCTCCCGCTGCTGATTGCTTCATTCAGTGAGCAAGTACCTCCTTGTATTAAATATAGGGTATGATTCTTACTTGCTTCCTACAAGCATTACGAACATGTTCCGCAAAAGAAATCCAATGGAAATGCTTCAACAAATTAGAGATCTAACTCGAAACAAAACGAGTATTAGAGGAGGAGAAGGGCCTAACTCATGATTGGAGTCAGCTTGTACATAAATTAGTCCTTCAATCTCCCCAACTGTGGACGCCAGCTGCAATGGAACATTTATTGTATTGTACTTGTTCCTTTTATCGCATATTTAAGCCTGCACACAGTATCTCAATTCAAGTAACAGGTTTTTAGGAGCTCATTCTGTAATTAAGAGAATCCGCGGTTTCATCCTTCCAGTTCCCCTTTCCCAGCGCAGAGTGCGATTTGCCTTTAATATTGCGTTCAAGTTTTCTTAATTATGGTTGGTTGGCAAGACATTTGATACTGCTTTTATTTTCTACGTATAAGAATTGTGTCAGTGTGCGAATATGATAGTAAGTCACAACTCCAACTCAACTCAACCTCCCACCCAACATCCTCACTTTTCTGAATCGACTCTTCTGGCGCAATGTGCCTCGGGGGGGACCAGCCGCGCGCGCTCTTGCGGCAACAGGAAATTCGTGAGCCAGGGGGAGTGTAGCCAATTCAGGGGGGTTGGGGGTGAGGGCAGTCACATGACATGCGTGAGAAGCTGGAATGTTCGAATTTCCTGTTGCCGCACAGCCGCGCGCGGTGACTGGCCCCCCCCCCCCCCCCGAGGCACATATGCGCCTGGCTTCGATAGCCAATATTTCTCATGTGAAAAAATCTCTGATTCTATCTTCGATAAAATATAGTCAATGATCGATAGAAAACAGAGGCTGCCTCGAACTAAACGGTTAGTGCCACGTAATGTAATAGCTCACAATCTCAAGTACGAAGCTTAAAAATCTGCAAAATGTAAAAAAATAACATAGAATCCAAATCTTTGTTTTAGATGCTATAAATAACAATCATGGGATCGAACGTGACCGTGAAACGTGAAATCATTTGAAAAAAGTTTGGTTGGGATTGGATTAAGGGTGTCCGACACTGAACCTTATTCTGCACATCATATTTGTAGTGAATTGTACTCACAAATAAGCAATTTTTTAAAACTGCAGTACGCAACCCATAGAAGAATTGTGCGCGCGACAGACAATTATGCGTACGGCGGCTACGAAATTACGGTATCCCCGGCTAGCCCCGATCGGCAGGCGATAGGGGAGATATCCCCGGCTATCGGTGGGCGTGGCCTCTCCCCGAGAACTGTCGGGGGGAGCATAGCATACCGGGACGGGGACCCCTCCCCTGTTGGGGGAGCATAGCATACGGCCCCAGGAGCAAAGGCTGGGGCAGGCTTGGTCTTCTCGGCGGGAGGAGGCGAGAGGAGGCGAGCGCAGAGGCGAGGAGGAGAGGTGGTGTGGACGTGATCGTTGGACCCTTCAGGATATTGAAACGAGTTATCGGTGTATATGTAGACCGTGGGTATGCGTCCATTTGTTGTATATTTTTTTCCATTCTTTGTTCTTGTTGGCGATTAATGATTTGGTATAGTCTGTGCAATTCATCCATTGCTGTTCTTTAGTTAAATTCGATATTTCCTCCTTCAGCATGTGCGCAGCTTATAGAGGAGGCAGTGTTTTGCTCAAGCTTTTTCCGTTGGTCTGGGTTGGGCACTGTACTGGTTGGTATATGATTGGTTGGTCTTATGCTCGCGACACTGTGGCAACTCTTCATCCGGCAGTTATTTAGGCGTTATCGCCTTCCTTAGAGCTTGAAAAGACAAAGTTATTTGAGAAGCTAGCCAGCTGAACACTTTCAACCTGCAGAAGTTCGACAGGATGTATAGTAGCCGACATCATGGAACAAGCGTAGACTAGTCTTCAGAAATGTTCGAAAAGGTCCATCTCCCACTCAGACTAATTGTTCAGATAGGTTGAACCCCGGGACCACTTGGTTGATCAACTACTATTGGAGGCTTTTACCTTTCTAGGCTCTCGAGAAATGGATTCGAACATGGACATTTACAGGGTGATTATTATTCTTCACAAGCTTTTCGCATACTGTCCAACTTGTTCGCAGATAAGTATAGGTAACTTATTAAACCGATCTGTAATGATGCATTCTCCTAATTTGAGCATCATGAGACTGAAATTTCGGCACTATTGCACTATTACAACCCCAGTAGGGGTTAAATGGATCAAAAATAATTTTTGCTGAAACTTCGCTAGGGGGTCATCGAGGCCCTGAATCACTCGTGTTTTTTTTTTTCGCGAATACGGTATTCATTTTCGGTTGGGCGCCAATGCGCCACAACTGTTGGCTCCCCCACTTTCTTCACGATTTGGGGCGCGGCCGCGGCGAGCGCGGCCGAGTCGATAGTGCCCGCGAACTGTGTGGGTAAATTTGAAAACGCATCACCACCACAGTTCGCGGGCACTATCGACTCGTCCGCGCTCGCCGCGGCCGCGCCCCAAATCGTGAAGAAAGTGGGGGAGCCGACTGATTATCACCAAATTCGCTGTAAACTTCTGTATAGGGGTTATTTGGGGTCCTGATTACGAATATGACATTCGTTTTTGTTGTTAGCGCTATTCGGCGCCTATTTCCTGCTCGTCTGCGCCCTCGCACTAATTAGATCGCAATCAGGACTAAGCCTTTGAATAGTGGAGGGCTCCAAAGTGAGTAGGCCACCCCTGTGGTCTAACACACTCCAACTTTTGCCACACGGTGCGTGGTTTACCCACTCCGGAGTTTCACTCCCCTCCCCTAAGCTTAGTCCTAGGCGCTATAGGTGAGAAAGCTTAGAAAAGCAGAAAATATGCGTTAAACAGCACGAATGTTAAAAACGAGTGTCATATTCGTGATCAGGGCCCCAAATAACCCCTATTCAGAAGTTTACAGCGAATTTGGTGATAATCAGTAGTGGCGCCAGCTGGCGCCAAATGGCGCCAATTTGGCGCCAGCGCCAAAAATGGATGTCATATTCGTGATCAGGACCCTCGATAACCCCCATAGCAAAAGTTTCAGCGAAAATTATTTTTTGACCCATCTCGGCCCCACTGGGGTTGTAATAGTGCAATAGTGCCGAAATTTCTAATACACGTGCTCAGAAGGCGTCTTACTTAATTTTGGAACTTTTCCAAACGTGAGGATTGATCGGAACCTTTTTGTGAATTCTGCATAACATCGAATCGACTCACTGAACCCGTTTTTATCTAACCAGATTTCGAGGACAATAAAGTTTTTTGTATCAAGATAATCAGTTGTAGAGTGCTTGCCTCTCACTTTTCTGACCACTGACTATGAGGTAATACGGCCCCGCTGCCTTTCCGATTTACAGCCATTTCCTGGGGTTTTCGGGAAATTAAGCTACTGAAGTCTTTCAATAACGTCAGCTTTCCACACCTCCATAACCGCACACGTGCCTGCTTAATTCAAAAGATAGCCCTTCTTTCCACTTGATGGATTGTTGGCTACAGAACCACTTTCTATCGGAATTTTTGCGAAACGAATGTATCAGTGCCAACCATCAACAGGGCAATATGTACGTTCTGTTTTGCTCCTCACAATAGTGTTCAGCAGCTTTGTTCATCACCGGTCTTCTTCTTCGATAACAAGCTTTTTCTTAATTCATTTGCAAATAATTTTTCCCAGGAAAAAAACGGAGATATTCGACTCACGAAACCGGGTGCTCCGTTAATACAGAATGAGACTTCCCCGCTGTTCGCGCGCGGAACTTTTTCGTTTCGGGAACCCTAGGTCCAGCCATAGCTAGGGATGGACCTGGGGTTCCCGCAACGAAAAAAGCGGCGCGCCACGAACAGTGAAAAGCCGCTTTCTGTCTTAGCGAACCCTACCCCACCAAATCTCAGGAAGATCAGTATAACATTTTTTGTAATTGTGAGATAGGAATTTTTTGAAACCAGGAGAGCAATTTTCATCAGGGGATAGGTCGTATATACAATACACATGCAATACAGGTCGTGCAGATACTTACAAAAATCTGCCGAACGAGATATTCAGCGCTCTTATTTGACCTACCTTTTTAACTTATATCTTACTATTATATTTTGACATTGGGTAGAAATAAATCCCTATCGAACATGTGAGTTAGCTGTCACAGCTTGACAGA